TTATGTGCCGTCGAGTCAGCCCTGACTCATAGCGACCCCTCCTTGGGTTTCAGAGGCAGTATCACTACGGAAGTAGGATTGCCCAACCTTCCTTCCGAGGAGTGGCTGGTGGGTATTGAAACCTACTACATCTAAATCTGAATCTTGTAATCAAAGACAGAAAACACATTTAAAACACATTCTTCTCTCTCTCTCTCTCTCTCTCTCACACACACACACACATACACATAAGACATTCAGACAGAGAGAGGACATTTGCCACTGAAGGGACAATTTACCCTAGTGTTAAATTTTGCACAAAAGAAAGTGTTTCGAGTACAAAAGCAAGTGTTTGAGTGGAGAAGAGGAAACGAGTTGCAGCATAGTTGATAGTGGTGCTGTGTGTTTAGATGAGAATTATAGACTCACCAAATTAGATAATCCAAGATTGGAGGGAAGGCCCATCTTTGGATACAGTGATGACATTCTGTTGCATAGAGCTTATAAGCAATGGCTTTGGAGTCACCAGGTCTGGTTTGAATCTTAGTTCTATCATTTACAGCTCCTTTGACCTTTATAAAGTGGTGTAAACTCTCTGACCTCATATTCCTTAACAGAACAATGAGCATCATGGTATCTACCTCATCAGGCTGCCAGGATAATTCAATGGGAGGAGGTATGCAAACCACCCTTTGCTGTTCCTAACACAAAGTGGCTGCTCAAAAAAATTGCACTAGAATTTGTGGGGCAATTATTCAGGGGGATTTCTAACATAGGACTTTTTCCCAGAGGTAAATAAAGGAAAGTGATTCTCAAAGCATCTACAAAAAGACGGATTACCCAAAGCAAGAATATTCATCTTAAGGAAACAGGCCACCTGGAGAGAGACATGCAGATCCCAGTTATGTTTCCAAAATAACCTGTCTTACTCCTGCAAATTCATTTCCGTAAGCTCTCTCTTCTTGCTATGCTACCTTTCAATCTGGAGAGATTACTTTCATATTCTTGTTTAACCAAAATATGCATTCTCTTTTCTTTTTAAAAATTGTTTACATATTTCCTTTCTTGAGAATGAGGAGAAGCTGTATTTTATACGGGAAAAGGCACATCCTTTAAACCTGAATTAAAAACAAAAAGACATGAGTCACATTTTATAGCAGTGGTAAAAGGACTTATGGTCTACTGGTTTCCCTTGTGAAAACATGCAAACCTTCATCTTACCTTTGAATTTTTAATTTTCTTCCTTTCCACATTAAACAGAGATTCCCCTGAGTTTCTGTTCTCCCGATGTCTGTGTAAAATTTAGAAAGTGATTAGAAAATCTTTTTTAACTATGAAAAGCAATCAGAGCTAATACACATAAGGACTAATTACTGTGAAGATGGATGATGTGTTTTGGTGTCTAATCATATTTTATTTGTTAAGGGTGATGCGTTCTAAACAGCTTTGTCTTGTTGGCATTTAAATAGAAAATAAAACAGATAATCACTAGATGGAAGCATTCAGTGAAGGTTTATCCCAGAAGTCTTTTGACCACTCAAGGCTAAATTGCCAAGTGGCTCTAGCCTCAGGATTCTTGGTTAAGCATTCAGGACTTCACAATACCCTTTGGACCTATGTTCCTGTGGGAATCTTCTCTGTGGGAGAAGATTCATGTCGATGTTAAGTGTGCTCGTTTATCTTTGTTTCCCTTTTTACACATCAGCGTGAGGTTCATGTACAGAAATGGATTATGGAACTTAGAAAAACAATAATGTAAATCGCCTTACATACATAGAGATTAAGCCTTTCCAGAGCAGCTTCCAATATACTTACACCTTTTTTTCAGCTCCCTCTTGTTCGACCCCTTGATGTTTGTTGTTGTCAGGTGTCATCAAGTCACTTCCAGCTAACAGCAACCTTATGCACAACAGAGTGAAACACTCTGCTGTCCTGTGCCATCCTCACAACCATTGTCATATTTGAGCCGTTGTTGCAGCCACTGTGTCAATTCGTGTGGTTGAGAGTCTTCCTCTTTTGCTGAACCTCTACTTTACCAAGCATGACGTCATTCTTCAAGAGGCTGATTCCTCCTGACCTTGTTCCCCCCACTCCACTAAACCTTCTCTCACCGAGGCCACCAATGACTGTCACTAAATCTAGTAGGCAGTTTTCAGTTTTGGTTTTTATTTTTAATAGACTGTATTCCTTACAGCAAGCTTTTCAGTTTTATCTTGATTAATGTCTCATAGCATTTCATTCTTCTAACCATCCTCTTCTCAAAATATTCTCCCTCCTTGGTTTCTAGAGGACCACAGACCATACCTTTCTTCCAACTTCAGTGACTTTTACTTTTTAGTTATTTTCTCAGGTTCTTCTTTTTTCCTTTTTATTCATTTTATCTTTATCATACATATCAACATAGTTTTAACAGTCATATACTTCTAGAAAGCCTATAATGAAAAACATGGCCTCTGATCCCACCCTTTACTTTATCATAAGACAATCAGTTAGTCTGTTCCTGCATAATGGAAACAGGAAGAAGATGAGATCCTGGATCATAGACAAAGGCCTTTATTATCCACGGCACAGCAAGTAGCATGAGTATCATGTTTGTGTCGGTTTTCCTTGGCTCCCAAGTCCCACAGAGGCAAAGTGGAGGAAATCAGATGGATGCTATGTACAGAGTGAGTGGCATTATAGGAGAGCACTGAGCTTGAAATCCTGTTGTTTTATAGCAAGCAGTAAGCAAGCCTATTGTCCCACAGGGAAACATTGCCTCATTTCTTAAGGTTGTTCACTACAGAAACAACACTGAGAAATGGCTCAAGTAAAGATCAGTCAGAGTCTTGCATTCCTGGCATGTTGTTGTTGTTGTTGTTATGTGCCATCGAGTCGGACTTGACTCACAGCGACCCTTCCTTGGGTTTCCAAGGCAGTATCACTATGGAAGTAGATTGCCCAACCTTCCTTCCGAGGAGTGGCTGGTGGGTTTGAACCGCCAGCCTTCTGGTTAGCAGTCAAGTGCCTTGCACGGATACTCAGAGTCATGCATAATGCCTTTCTCAACACCATATTTGCTAGACCCAGTTTACACACTCTCTAGTTTGCTCGATCCTAGTTTTCTACTCAATTATATTGATAATCACCAGGAAGATTATTAGGATTATCAGGAAGGCAAGGAACAAATCTGTTTCCCTTTTATTGATCCCCAGTGTTTATCACAATGTGTGGCACATAGTAGGTAATCAATTCCTAATCCAAATAAACTAAATAATTTATATGATTCCCTCTGTGAATGGTATTGCATTTTAGAAATTCAGGTAAATCAAAAGCACACACAAGTAAATACAAGAATGGAATTCTTTTTAAAGGAGCCTCCATTACATTATACTACACATTTATTGTATCCATTTTTCACTTTCCTCAATTCCCTCATGTCCCACAATCTCCAGATCCTCTCATTTGACAAACTCTGTGACTTAGATAAAGCAATCATACTTTGAAATCCACTTTTTCCTAACTCCAACGCCTGTGCCTTTTCCACTATACCATTTTGTCCATCGTTGTAATATTTTGTTTGATATATTATTAAATAAAAGTCTAATAATTTAACCTTGAGGCTAGTCTTAGCGATGCCCTCATGAAATGGTTCTCAAGTAGGGGTGAATTTGCTTCCCAGGAGACATTTGGCAATGTCTGCAGACATTTTTGGTTGTCACTACTAAGGTAGTGCTACAGGCAGCTAAAGGATAGAGATCAAGGATACCACTAAACATCTTACAATTCACCAAACACTCCCCTACAACAAAGAGTTATCTAGTCCAAAATGTCAACAGTGCAGAGGTTGGGAAACCCTGCTCTAGCATATGGAGGGATGGAGTTTCCCAATACATATAATGTAGACCAGTTGTTATGCCAAACCTGTGTTAGCGACACAGGAATTCAGAAACCAAAACTTGTCTTTTTCTAATCCCAAAACAAATGTACTGTCATTGAGTCTATTTTGGCTCACAGAGACCCTATTGGATAGAGTGGAACTGTCCCATGGGGTTTCCAAGGCTGTCAATCTTGAGAGAAGTATCTTTCTTCCCCAGAGCTGGTGGGTTCCAACAGCCACACTCTTTATATCAGCTGATTTCTTTAACCACTGTGCTACCAGAGCTCCTTCTCTTCCTAAAGTCATTGTTTATTCTACCACAACTACCTTCTTATCTTATTTTCCCTAGCACTTTTGTCATTGCAAAACAAATAATCTCTAGAAAAGAGTTTAAATTAAATAGCATGGATTTAAGATGTACTACTATTCCAAGGAGTCCCTACGCCCATCTATATCCCCTCCTCCTGGAGATACACATACCTCACTGTGTGGTCTGATTTCTTACTCTCTGCAATTTGAGTAACAAGGATATGATAAGCATTCCTCTATGACTATATCTTGCCTTGAGCAGTAAAATGGAGTTTAAGGTTATTTTGAAAGAAAACTAGCCCACCAATTTGATCCTTTACTCAAATATTGGATTCGCTCAAACCCAAAGACCTTGAAAGTTTAGAATAACTAACCACAGTAGTTTGACTGTATGTTTCTGTATTTGTATTTAGGCTGGGGCAGGAAGCAATATAAACTCTAATAATCCACCACAAGATAAATCCTGTTTGCACAGAAATCTGACCTGACCTAAATCAGGATAAACAGGTAAATCAATACAGGAATGTCTGGCATGGAGGCTTAATTTCCAGACCTAAGAGATTAGAGATGAGTTCATCGAGACATACAAGCACAGACCTACAAATGTATACAGATTGCATTGGACCCATCCCACACATAGAATTCCTTGGCCTCATCAGCTTTTTGCCCACCTGGCATCTCTGGGATTTTCTATTCATCAGTAATATTGGAAATTAAATTGATGCAGAGCAGGCTGAAGGCTAGCCCAGAACAGTCTGAATCTCTCTTGGCTGCTCAGTTCTCATCACATAGTGTAAGTGTCTTTCCCTTGGCTCTACTATATTTTTGCTTTTCTTAAACACCATCCTGGCACTCAGTCCCAACAAACACTTTCCCTTCTCTCCAGCTTCCAATTCCTTTCTCCTGCTACCACGCTGGTTTCTGGCTCCAAAGTGATCCACTCAGCAATGATCCAGACTTCATAATTCAAGGGTGTAACTGCACATCCAGGGGCAATGAACTGTTTTTCCATGAAAGGATAGTTAGTATTGGAGCCTGTGTCTTCTATTACAGGAAATTGCATCAAGCATTAATTTAACTTACAGGATCACCAATTTTTTAGGGGAGAAAGGGAAAAGGAGGTGTAAGAAGAGAAAAAGAATCACCAAATAAATTTTCATTGAAACATACCAGAAATGGAGCTTGAAGTGCCAGCAAAGTGTTCCAAACACCATTTTCAAATAGATTTTCCACGAATGTAGAGTGAATCTAGCCCATAGTTTATAGCTGGAAATCAAGCTTGTTTGATACAGTAGTTAAGGGTACAAAAGCTTCCCATAACTCAAGTGACCAAAACTTAAATGAATGGAATGGAAAACTGATGGCAAGTTGAGGGAATGAGTTTTTCTAGGCAGCAAGAACATTTCTCAAAGCTCTGAGACAGATAGGAAGCGAAGATGGATGGAAGCTTGGATTAGAAAATAAAACAGGCACCTCTTTTAAGGAAAGAGAAGCTATTTTTAATGTATTCCATTTTCTAAGGAAAGAGGTTAAAGATGAAAAAAATTGGACATTTTCGTTAAAAGCTCAGTAACAGCTTGTTCTCATTTGGCTCAATTTAGTCCAACAGATAAAGTACTTTGTCCAGCTCTCATCCAAAACTGTCTTGGGACTTTACTACACCAAATCCCTACTCTTTTTTTTTTTTTTTTTTTCCCCAGAGAATGTATTGGTCTTTCTTCTTTCTTCTTCTCCTTCTCTTCCTCCTCCTTTCCTGAGCACTACATCCAAGCAATGGAAAGCAGATTCTTAATAACTTTTAAAGAAAAATATCAAATAACCAAAGTCATTCCAGTGAAAGTTTGTGAAAATTATTATCTATAAAATGGTCCCTGGGGTTCTACTGGTATAAGAAATGGCTCTTCATCACCTGTCATCCCACCCTGTCCATCTCCCAGGCCTCCTCCAAAAGGACATGAGAAATAAAGTAAAAAGTAAAGGCTAGTGACAACATTTGAAAAATGAGGAATCCTGGAATTGAGGGGAGGGAATATTTGAATCAGGTTTAGACAAAGCTGAGGGGCAGAGAAGCATTTATTTGCTGGCCTCTGGGGGCCTGTACACTTTTTTTTTTTTTTTTTTAATATGTTAGCTATTGTGGGGAAGGAGGAAGTAACAATTGGTAATAGATTCTTTCCCTTGGAACTTTCCCAAGCACCTTAACATCACAGGATAGGGTAACCATCTCTGTGTTCGAGCTGGTGAGAGGAAAAAATGAAAGAAAAAGAGTAATGCCTTTTGGGTTTGTTTACATCTACTTTGAAAAGGTTTTAAAAATGTACAAATAATTCATAGTATATGTACATTGCTGTAACCCTCCTTAAATATTATTGGGAGCAAGGCTGTATATTTAAAAAAAAATTACAGAGTAAACTCTGTATTTGCTAATGAAAGAAACAGTAGTCAAAGATCAGACCACCTATATTCAGACCTTGCTAAACACAAATAACCTAGTTTGTTCATCCTTCTCTGCTCCTCTAACATTTAAATCACTCAAAGCACTTTTCATAGCCAAAGCTAATTACCTGTTAATATATCTGTCTCTGTCCATAGATCATAAACTTTCTGAAATAAAAGCCTGTCTTTTTCAGTTCTGTGACTGCCTGATATATCATAGAGGTCTTTAAATGTTGAACAAATGAATGAATGACTTTCTACACCTCAGTTTCCTTTCTCACTTCTCTATTAAAGAGCCATTGTGAGAATAAAATGAATGAAGGTTGGTAAAAGTGTCATTAAAATGCAATGTATCACCAGTAATCACTTAGAGGAGAATGACAACAAGATAAATATGGAATGTGAGCAGATGAAGGTAAGAAATACTTTAAAGAAATATCCAACTGACAGCCCATTGGCTGTCACCACAGTCATCTTGTAAAGGTCTTAATAAGACTTGAGAAAGACCTAATCTGAAGCTACCAGAAGAAAAGTATGTAAGGGACTATCATTCACTGTACCAGTTCTCCCTGTTGTCCAATTTACGAAACCGAACTTTTGCTGTTTTTGGAAAAGCCTTCCTATGTTGATGATCCCAATGGATGAACAGGAGCTTATTCCTCTCTTTGACTTCCATATGAGGTTGATCTACTCCAGATGGAAAATTTTTCATAGGCATTATAAAGTACTCCATCTGTGAAGCAAACAAAAGAAAGTAAAAGATAATGAACTATATGAAAGCTGAATTACCCATTAAGGGGTTATGCTGAGGTCTGATAATGAATTAGCTCAGTGTTGTGCGAATGCCACAGAAAATGCTAAGAGAAGAAAAAAATAACTCTTCCTTCTGCTAGCCCTTTTGGAGGTCATGGAAATTGAATATATTTAGCAGTTGGGAGAAAATATACTTCCTATTTATTATTTAATACTTCTTATTTATTACTCATTGCCATTGATTTGATTCTCACTCACAGCAACATTTTAGGACAGAGTAGAACTGCCCATAGGGTTTCCAAGGTTGTAAATCTTTACAAAACCAGACTGCCATATATTTCCCCCAAGCTGCAGCTGGTAGCCAGCCTTTAAGTTAACAGCCAACATGTAGTTGGCCTCTTAAATCTCATCTTTCTTTGTGTGTTAGTTAAGACTTTTGGTAACAGTGTGGTCATGGGCAAGTTTTTTGTTTTGTTTTGTTTTTTGTTTCTTAACCTTCTTGAGCTTCAGTTTCTTCATTTATAATAGGAGACAGTATACTTACCTCATATGGAGCCCGGGTGGCTCAATGGTTAAAGCACTCAGCTTTAACCAAAAGATCGGCAGTCCGAACTCACCAGTGGCTCCGTGGGAGAAAAGATGTGGTGATCTTCTCCTATAATGATTACAGCCTAGGAAAACCTATGGGACAGTTCCATTCTGTTATGAGTTGGAATCAACTCTATGGCCTAACAACAACACACTTAGCTTATAAGGTAATTGAAAAAAGTAAATAACAAAAACTTCTATAAAGGGTTTTGCAGACTGCATCATGCTTAGTATACTCTCTGTACAATGGTGGTAGATCACGCTATCATGCCTCTCAGGCAATTATTTGATATTACTATGCTATGGAGCTCTGGTGCTGTCGTGCTTAAGGCATTTGACTGCTAACCAGAAGGCTGGTGGTTCAAACCCACCAGCCACTCCTCAGAAGGAAGGTTGGGCAATCTACTTCCGTAGTGATACCGCCTCAGAAACCCAAGGAGGGGTCGCTATGAGTCAAGTTTGACTCGACGGCACATAACAACAACAACAACATGCTGTTTATTTTGTTTCTTATTCAGTATCCATCTATTCAGTACCAACAAGCAAGAAAAATATAAAGTTGACCAAAAACTAGTGGGCCACTGTTTCTCCAAGGTTGTAAAGGAGAGCTAGAAACTTTGAGCATCAAAAGCATTGAATGTAGTTTTTAATAAGCATTCATTGGAATATAGGGGCAGATATCCAACAGTTTCCAGAGAAGGATATCATGCTTGATAAAGTGGAAGGTCAGAGAAAAAGGGGAGTGGATTGACACAGTGGCTGCAACAATGAGGTCAAGCATAGTAAGGATTGTGAGGATGGCACAGGCCAGGGCAGTGTACATAGCATTGCTGTGAGTCAGAATTGACTCAGTGGCATCTAACAACAACAACAACATCCAACAGAGTAGCCTAAATTAAAAAAGACTGATAACACTAACTATTGGTGCGGTTGTGGAGCACCTGAACTTTTCAAATGTTGTTAGAGAGAAAGTAAAATGCTACAACCACTTTCAAAATGGCTAGGCAATTTCTTATAAAATTAGACATACACCTACATTGTGACCCAAAGAGTTTACTCCTAGATATTTACCCAAAGGAAATGAAAGCATGTTTACAAAAATAGGTTATAAGAAGAATAGTAATAGCAATTTTATTTATAATAACAAAAAGCTGGAAACAGACCAGTTGTCTCTCAATAGGGAAAGGGGGAAACATATTATGGTTTATTGTGGACTATTCCTCAACAATTAAAAGGAACAACCAACTTATGTATATGCAACAACACAGATGAAATCTCAAAAACATGCTGAGTGGAAGAAGCCTTGAACAAAAGAGAACATATGGTATGAGTTCTTTCACATGACATTACAGAGCAGGCAAAACAAATCTATAACAGAAAAAAATTAGAACAGTAGTTATTTTGAAAATTGGGAAAAGGATGACTGGAAAGAAGTGTGAGTAACTTTCTGGATTGATGGTAATTTTCTACACCTTAATAAGAGTTTAGTTTACTATGATGGTTGGAGCTGTGTGTCAACTTGACTGGACCGTGATTCTGTGTGGTTTGAGCAACTGCGATGTGGGTTGTTCCCATGATGGGATCAGATGTATATGTTTTGGGCAGCCAATCAGTTGAAGGGGAGTTTCCCTAGGGGTATGGCCTGCTTCTAGTATGTTTGTGGACATCCTGGGAAAAGAGACTCTTTTTCTGTGGATCGTGATTCTGTTGTGCTGCCTACAACTGTCCGTGAGCAAACAATCCACCATTCAGCCTGAAGATCTTGGATTCATCATTTGTTGGAGTCAACAGCCTGTATACTGCCTGCCAACCTTGAGCTCGTTAGCCTCTGAAGCTGCGTGACTTGGGAAAAGCCTCCAGCCTGACTTGCCAGCTTCTATAAGTGTGTGAACCATTTTCCTAAGATAAATTTCTCTTCCTCTCTCTCTATATATAAGCTTAGGAGCTCTGTAGTATAGTGCCTAAGGCACTTAACTGCTAACCATAAGTCTGGTGATTCAAATCCACCAGCCACTCCTTGGAAGGAAGATGAGGCAATCTACTTCCATAGTGTTACTGCCTTGGAAACCCAAAGAGGGGTTGCTATGAGTCGGGTCTGATTCCACGGCACAAAACAACAACAACAGCATATATAAGCTTTACTGGTTTTGCTTCTCTAGAGAACCCAGCCTAACACATTTGGTACTGAGAGTGGTTCTAGAGAGACAAAATCATAAGAATGGGCTTCCTAAATTGGTTCTCCAATTTGATTAATTGTAAAAGCACTG